ATATATATATATATATATATATGCTTGGGTGAAAAGTCAAAGGAACAGCTTATTTTTATTTAATTTTGTTAATTAATTAAAAAATAAAACAATCTGGGATAAAATAAAACATAATTAATAGGACTCTTTATGTAAATATATAAGTAATTATATTTATAATATTTATAATAAATACATATAATTATAAAGAATCAGCAAAAACACATTGAATTAAATGTGAAATTTTAAAGCAGAAAGCCTGAAATAATATTTTCTTGTAAAACATACTCCAATAATATAATAAATCGTTTATACGTTTCATTATTTCAATTAATTACACCTACTTTTGATTACTAACTTTCGATTTAACCATTAAAACTGAAAATTTGAATAGACAAATTAAAACAAAGAAAGAAAAAAAATAAATGGAAAAATGACTAATGACAGAATTTTTGGATGCACTTGGTTTCCATTTTGTCACAGAGTGTACACTTTTTGCCAGCACTTAATATATTAAGGATGAAAAAGCTGCTTAATTGCATTCATTTGATTGCTTTTTATCTATTATAATCCACACTTAAATTTTTAAGATGCAGAAAATGATCGTGTTTCTCTTTTGAACTAATCTGTTTTATTTTAGACAGACAGGTTTTTATCAATGGTCAGATTTTGGGCATGCATTCAAGTTTACTCAACAAAGCAATCAAAAATCCATCTGGATCCTTCTAAAATCCAGGAAGGAAGCATGCTAAAGCCCTTAGACCACAATGAGGCCTACCTGCCAGACTAGCTCATTTGAAAATATTTTGGTTAAACCACAATAAGATGACCTCCCGATTAATCATTTGACAGGCTGATCAAATTCAGCAGGGACTAGACCAGCTGCCCACATTCAAATGCTCCAGAAAGCCTCCAAAGACATTCATTATTCACTTTGACATAAGATGACAAACAACTGATGGAGCCGGCATGCTGATGAGGTGTCTGGCAGAAATCGTGTGACAAGTGCACAGGCAGAGAGATAAGGTAAATCACAGGCTAGGAGGAAGTGAGGAATTTAATTGCTCTAAAAAGACATGTCATCTCTGACTCGCCAGGCTTTATTGTGCTTGCCAGCCTGGATGATTGTGAGGTGCTCTTGTTTTGATATGTTAATTCCCCTCTGAAAACACTGTTTGTTGTGCACACAGTGGTGGGATTTTGTCATATGATGCATGCTTTATTTTCTGTGCAAAACTAATTGCTAAAACTGTTTGTCAGTCCTGTGATGTACAGAGCAGAATTAACATCAAGCCCTGATTATATACTGTATATTTTCTTTGGTAACTACATTATCATATTGGATTGCAATTAAACAACATCACTTGTTGTTCTACTGCAACAAAAACAAAATAAACCAGCAAACTGTAAAAAAAAAAAAAATGTAAACGTTTAATTTATTCATGCTGCAGTGCATGCTGGGAAACTAAATGGCCAGTACAATACTGGATTAGCCTCTAGATCAGGTCTGTAGTAGAGTATTTGCTCATTTGCTTTAAAATGTAAACCATAACAATACGATTTGAAAGGTCCAAAAACATTTAAGTAATTTCAACAGCACACCGAATTAATATCTTCTGACATAAAACTAAGTTCTCGGATTTAAGGATGCCATTCATTCAAGTGCTCAACGGAACCAGACACATTTTTAATTTCATAACTTCATTCCTTCATGCTTTTTTACTCATCATATAACTATCCAATCGTGAAAAGACTATTCCAAGATACAAATGAGACCGATTGCAATGCGATCACTCAAATGTTCACCACTAATTGCTAAATTGGTCAAAGACTGCTCATAGGAAATTGCACTGAAAAATGACTGTAAAAATGACTGTGAAAGGATGTCAGCTAGTTGGCCAAAAATACTTTAAATGTACATTAAAACCTTTAAGGTGCAGATAAAAAAGCAGGTGCCTGGGAATAGTTACCGTTGTTATGATTTTCTCTGATCAGCAGAGATATAGTTATTTGTTTCTTAGGGATTGGTGTAGGCAGAACATAGTCTAAGGCAACATGCAATTACACAAGTCAGTACATACCATCTTATATCTGAATGAGTCATTCAAACAGCGGTTAAAAAGGCACAGTGGGAAACTGAGCTTAAAGCAGTAATGGCTCCCTACCAACAAGTATAACAATACTCAAATAGCTGAAATTGCTTGTTCAAGGCTTTGCTAAGGGAGACACCAATTAAATAAAACTCAAATTGAAAAAGGAGAAAGCCCTTATCTTAAGCTTCAGAAACAGAAGGTCCCAGGTTTTCTAATTGAAATGAGTAATGCAGCCAATGCCAGGGTAGTTGCATATGTAATTCGGCCTCAAAATGAAGAGCCTTTTTGCTCGGTATTCTAAGTCAGTTGGTGCTTGTCAATTGATTACATCATCTACAAAAAGCTGATGCTCAATCTCCTTGCTATTTTCAAAGCCTCTTTTATCTTTGAGAGCATAGTGCTGGATGGGCAAAAAAGAGTGCCTTTGTTTTCCCAGCCGCACATGTCCTTTTCAATATTCGAAGGAAACCATGTGAGTTCTTCGCTGTAGCGCACCTCATGATTCTCACTTTCTCTTTGAAATAAATTGTTTTACCGCTCTGCTTGATGTGAAGCCCAAATGAACATAGTCAATTTGTTCCCGCTGGTCTGTATTTTGCTGAAAATGGACCACGCTGAATGGCATGTTTTGTCGGAAGCTGTGGCAGTAAATGCTCTCATTACTTTAAAACGTTTGATTTGCAAGGTCTTGAGGAATTGCACTCACTCATCGGCTCTTACCTTTTCCGTTGACTGCGATGTCCCGAAGAAAATGGGGATGAAAGCGAGCCAGATGATGCAAGTGGTGTACATGGTGAAGCCGATGGGCTTGGCCTCGTTGAAGGTCTCGGGGACCCCACGCGTCTTGATGGCGTACACCGTGCACGTCACCATCAGCAACATGCTGTATCCCAGGAGGCAGATGAGCGACAAGTCTGATATGTCACACTTTAGGACTCCACACGCCATCTCGGGATCTGCCGTGCGCTGGTCCTCATAGTCAATGAGAGCTTGGGAAGGGTCCACTGCGAACCAGATGCACACCCCTAGGAGCTGAACGGAAATCAAGCTGAAGGTGATTACCAACTGCGAAGCTGGACTGATAAAGCGTGGCGCGCTCACTGTCATTTTTCCCTGCTCGAAAATCCGATAAATCCGATTGGTTTTGGTGAGCAGCGCCGCATAGCTGATGCTCATTCCGAGCCCGAGGAAAATTCGCCTCAGCGAACAGATCCCTACATCTGGGGTCGAGATCATCAGGAAGGTGGTGGCGTAACACAAAAAGATTCCCGTAAGCAGGACGTAGCTGAGCTCACGTCCGGATGCCTTAACAATCGGCGTGTCATTGTACCGAATGAAGGTGACCACAACAAAAAGAGTGGCCATGATGCCGAGAATAGCAATGAGGACCGGTATGACTGCCCAGGGTGAGCTCCACTCCAGCTTCACAATCGGAATGAGCTGGCAGCCTGTGTGATTCTTGTTAGGTCTTAAATCAAAGCGGCACATCTTGCAGGTGTAGAGGTCGTGCTGATACTGGTAACCATCGCAGCGCTCGCAGTGCCAGCAGCAGGAAATGCCCTTAACGATCTTCTTGCGCCATCCAGGTTTGCAGGGCTGACTGCAGATGGAAGTCGGCACCTGCTTCCCTCCACCTGGCCACTGCATCGCCCGCATCTGAATTGCAAAAACAAACAGTATTTACCATTTATCTCGGCTAAAGATGAAACAATGTTTAACATCTCAAATTAGTGTTTTCATTTCCTCATCCACTGACTCATTAAATTAAATCTTGGGTATCTCAAAGGAGCAATTTTAAGCAGTTTTCCTCAAGGCTATATACTTCAATCCATTTTCATAAGCGATGTGTCAAGTTCACCAAAAAGTGAAAACTCTGTCATTGTTTGCTCACTCTCACATCGCTCCAAACCCATATGCTGCTTGTTTTCCTGTGGAACACTAGAGAAGTTTTTTTTTTTTGTTTTTGAGAAATTATTGTGCAGCTCTTGTTATAAAATGACAAAAAAAGTGATCAGAAACTGTAAAGCTCAAAAAAAAAGTGGTCTATTTGACTTATGTGCAATAATCTAAAGCAATATGCTTGAGGAAAAGATCAAAATTAAGTTTTTATTATACTAATAATACTAGTACTAACATCACATATGGTAAATCGTTACTGGTTCTCACTTGTGTACAATGTGACATGCTGGTTTTAAATTCTGGACTCGAACTTCAGATTATAATGACATTAATTTTGGTCTGTCACACAAGGCAATTCAGAAGACTTACAATTCACACACACACACACACACACACACACACACACAGACACAGACACAGACACAGACACAGACACAGACACAGATACAGACACAGATACAGACACAGATACAGACACACACTTTTATAGTGCATTTTTTAAATTTTGGAGCTTTAAAGCTATAGTCACTGTTTACTGTTGTTGGGAATAACATATAAAGATTCTTTTACTATTACTTTTGTGTTGGAAAAAAAATAATAACAAAATACAGGTTTGGAATGGTATGAAGGTGAATAAACAAGACAAGATTTTTTTCCTTTCTTTTTTTTGTGATCCCAAATATACTTACATTTAGGTAAAGTTGGTCAGTCCAGTGGCCGATGGTCTTGTATTCTGCTGTTTTGTTCTTAATCTGGTACTGGTAGATATCGTAACGGCCTGGGGCATCTCCATTCTCATTGAACTGCACCGGATTGCCAGCAATGCCTGAAGTTGTGAGCAGAGAAATCTGATTAAAGGATGCAAAAAGTGTTACACCATATAGCTTCACAGTAATGAGCAACGGCTCATGTACGGACATATCCAGGTCAGCATCCAAAATCTGTGAACGAAAATCACCTGAGATTGATGGTGAACTGGAAACTGCAATATGTTATGCTGCACTAAATGTGCTAGCAGTAAATTTAATAGAAATGTTGCTAAATGTATTGCTTTAGAGGTTACCTAATGCTATATCTACGCTATAGTAAATAAAAATGAGCTTTTCAAAACCACTTATTTTTAATATAACTATAAGCATTGTATCTAAAGGAGAAAAAATAACCTCATTTAAACCTGAAAACCCTAAAACCTAAAAAAAAACTGCATTACCACTGCTTAGTATAAAATGCATGGGCATATATATTTAGCTCCGTACAAACAAGTCGAAATTCCCTTTGCAGATATCTAACCTCAAGTACACTGAGTGCAATTTCTATTTTGCGAGAGCAATAGCTTATGGAAGGAGGCAGGCGAAGTGGACAGGATAACAATGGTGCTGCATCCCATGATGCATTTTAGATTAGGTGCCTTATTCTGTGGAAAACCCTGCTGTCTTAGGCTTTAAAGTTTTGGTTAAGCTATCTGTATTCCAAGCATCTGACTGTGTCCAACTTAATTCCCTGGACCCTGCACAGCCGAGTCTACCCAAACAATAGCACAAGAAATTGTGTTTTCACTACTTGTGTTTGGGTTATAACTATTCTGAGGCACAATCCACATGAAATTCTCACTGAATTCTAAGGGTGATTATCAGCAATGGTGGATTTCTGTTGATGAATATCCATTCTTCTTTGTGCAGGCTTGGAAGCTGCGAGAGGTTTATTTCAAACTCTGATGAGTCAACTGCTCTGGATTAAGGAATTACGTTTTTTTTACAGACATGCTTAGTGGCGGTGCAGCTCACCATATAATGCAGACAGATGTAAAGGATTATGAGAATTTTATAAGGACAAAATATTCATCAAATCAAGAGGGTGCACACATGAAGTGATTGAGATTCCCCAAGTAAGCACTCAGTTACTGACTCACTCAGGCATATGACCTTACCATACAGTGTGAATGTATTATCAGCGGAGCTCAAACTTGAGCCTAAATTAGGGATGCACCGATACCACTTTTTCCAGTACTCGCCCGATACTGATACTTTTATTTTTGGTACTTGCCGATACCGAGTACCGATACCAATATTTTCATTGCATTTGTACATTTTTTAAATATTGGGTACAGAAACCAAGAGTATGTATAATGTTAGTTGGTTAACTTCATTTATCAAATAGATACAGTCAAACCAAAATTTATTTAGACACCTTCAACATTTCACACATTATCACAGTTTATTCGCTATAGTTTAGAAAATGGTAATAAAATATGTCGTGTATGCTTAAGGGTGAAAATAAATGACGTTTATAGTGAGTGCCCCTATAAATTGTCTTATTTTTTCTTATTATTTACGATTTAGTTTTAATCAAAATGATGCGTGCTAAGTGAGCGAACATCAATAAAGATCACACAACAGAAGTGCGCGCTTGACGTAGACATGTGGGGGCGTGTTTAAATGAGGCATTTTAGGAGGGCGTGGACGAGTCTTAACTTTTATAAAGAATATCTCTTTGGGTTTGAGACTTTAGTCTTTGCAACTTTAGGGATCTTATCTATTCACGAACAGCTTGTAACACTCCAAAGAGAAAGGAAAACTTGAAATCTCATCATATGACCCCTTATGTTTTGGGTGAGATACTACATTATGCAGGCCAACAATAGAGTTCTGATGTTCCAGGAAACAGTTGTGACAATTAGAGAATGTTAAATGCTCCTGAAAAATATGCCAAAGCGATTGAGAAAAACTGTAAAAATCTAGTTACTAAACATGATATAGACAAAGCAAAACTTGCAGAAATCGGTGTTATGACTTTTGGTTATTATTCAGTATAGGGTTCTGACTGTACCAGGAAGATGCCACTACACAGTCCCCAGACATATATCCTTATTAAGTGTACTCCATAGCATCAAAGGGTTGAGAGTTTTCTTCTGAGATTCATTTGATGAGACATTGTGCAGCACTTCAAACAATGGGATCAGGGAGAAACACAGGTAGACTTCCACCTCCAGAGACAGAGCTTACCACACGGCCAAGAGATCCTTCTCCAACCATAATATTCAGCAGAGAAGACACATGGTCACTGCCAGCATCACAATGAGTCTGTGTCCTAAAGACTACTGAAAATCGTACTGATAAAACGATAAAATAATAGAACGATCGATAGAATGATAGAACAAATGAAAGTTTGAATGATAGATAGATAGATAGATAGATGAATTGACCCTTAAGGTTTTCTATAATAAAGCCAATTAAATTTAGTCAGGCATAACATACAATTTAATAGGAATAGTTTATTATATTATAACCAGGACTGTTTAAATGTAAGCTTGTAAATGTATCTTAATGAAACGGAAAATGAAAGTGCTCTGTTGTTTTTCACCAGCCATCAGCAGGAATAAAACATCATTTTGGCAGTAATTTATGTTGTTAAAAAAAGACTATGTGGAGGAAACCTGCAATCTGAGCTTTGGAAGCAAAGCCAGCAGTTTAAAGGCCTCACACAGTAGACTTACAAAGAAGAAACCACTTTGGGCGAAAGTGATGGCTACACGGACAGCAAAGTGATGGGCCACCTCGTTCAATCTCAGGCTATTCAAGTCTATAACTAACCTCACTCAAAGTCACGTGGAAAGTTGAGGATGGCGTTATGTGTAGAAAAGTAGCACTGAAAACGTGCAATGCGGAGTTACGAGACAGCTTTGAAACAGCTTTGGCTACATACAGCAGGTCTCTCAAATCTTGCAAAGCTGTCTTTCCCATCAGGCTCATAGTTATATAGCAGTAAATCGCTGCCAGACACTGGATCTCAGCTCATCTGCTGCGAATGTCTGCCATGGCCACTTCTGAACTGGCAGGAGAAGTGTTGCAAACTGATTGCATTCTGAACACAAGAATATAATTATCAACATATCTGTTCATTAACAGGAATAAACATGAAGATGACACTGAGTAATAAAAAAGCTGCTGTTTTTCTGTAAACAGGGTTATAGGCAGTGTTGGGGAGTAACTAGTTGCATGTAACGGCGTTACGTAATTTAATTACAAAATAAATGTAACTGTAATCAGTTACAGTTACTAAGAAAAAATGTGTAATTAAATTACAGTTACTTATGAAAATGTTAACGATTACAAAAGGGATTACATTTGAATATTTACACACATCCACATACAGATTTAATTGATTTCTTTCCCAAATTGCACTGACTACTCTATGAGACATACGGCCCTATAATTTCGCGATGCGGAAAACACAGACTGGTTTGTAGAATCCAGTCATAAAAACGGAATTCCTATAGCCTAACGCGGATGGAATATGCCACATTTTGGAAGAATAAATGAAAAGTAGGTCAGTGCACTTGAATATGGACTAGTGTCTGTGAATATTAAGCCGCGAAAAGACAATATATGAATCCTGCACGTTCTGCGTGTCTCTGTGGAAATCAGGCGCGGACCGCTGCTTTTTTTTTAATATTATTATTATTATTATTATTATTACATAATTGCCTGCCGAATTTATTAAAGCGATTATTTCTGAATTCGCCATTCGATGATAAATCTCTAATAAATCATAGATGTGACTGGCAATGCTTCAGCTCGCGCGCACTCCGCCAAATGGTTTGGATCAGAGTAAACAATGTGAGAGAAAGAGAATGGAGTGGACTGTGGAAGCGCACAAGTGGAGCAGAGAAGCAAAAAGAGACACCAATGTTTCAAAAAGACACCAATGTTTCAGGAGTTTAGTACACAGAATAGGACACATGCTTATTAGATAACCGTATTTGAGTTGATGTATATGCATTTATTATTATTTTTTAATTAACTATTTTTTCCAAACCATTGTTAGATGCAGTGTTTCCTGTAGTTATGCAAAGATTTATTATCTATTAACTATGTCTTATGATTTTAAATCTGCATTGAACTTCAGATCAATCTCAAAGTAAAAGGCGGTACTAAAGTCTGATTTTGTGGTGGATGTGTTCAAATATGATCATCTTAATTCAAGTGATGAAGGATTTTGAAAGTCTGACAGTGTTGAGCACTACTGTAAGCTTAACCCTGCATGGTGTAAATGTTTGAAAATGATTAACAGTTGCAAATAAACATTCATTAGAAATGTAGAAAAGTAATCAAAAAGTAATCAAAAGTAATCAGTTACATTACTTTAATAAAGTAATTGAAAAAGTTACACTACTATTACATTTTAAATAGGGTAACTTGTAATCTGTAACCTATTACATTTCCAAAGTAACCTTCCCAACACTGGTTATAGGTGTAAGATTAAACTCACCAGGCCAGTATGTAATGATGCAAGAGTCTAAGACTTGGATGTAAAAAGTGCTTGAAGAGTGTCTTTCAACTTGAGAATAACATTAGCATAATTTAAAAAAAAATAGCCGGTACTCCACTTATTTGTACACATACCGTAGGGTCCAAACATCAGACTCCACATTAAAAATCTGATAATTTTTTTGTATGAATAGTAGTAGGATTTTTAATAATGTAAACATATAATTAACAAGAAATATAATCTAATATGAAATTGAGCATGTGAACTACAGTAGGCTACTCCTCAGATGTTCATACTGGAGAACATGATCATCAAGCTTTAAGCAGGATCATAAACTTGTGGAGTTCATGCAGCTCAAATGCTGCTGTTATTAAAGGAGTCATGAACTGAGAAATCAAATTGCCCTTGATCTTTTGACATTTCTCGTTAGTTTAAAAACAGCTTTTATTGAAACCAAGCTCAGAAAACGACTCATTTTGGAATTTGCCACTTTATGACGTAATAGTGTGGCTAAGCACTGCCTCCGCAGGAAAAGATCAACTCCTGCTTCTACAACACTAGACAGACGCAAACACAGGATTACTCCATCAACAGAACCATACAGATGACATTACAAGATTACAAGACACTGTGTAGTGTAAGTTGTAAAATATAGTCTTTGAATTGCCTTCCTTGTGATCCTAACATGTCTACATCGGACGCGAGCGCTGTTGCATCATGCCGCGAATCCATTTCTCTTTCAGGTCAGAAGCGGTGCGAATGCTTGTATGTCAGAAATAGAGCGGGACATCAGTTTACTGTCGGAGATTTGTTGTGTCAATCCGTGCCGAATCCAGTGTAGACAGAATCACAGATTATAATGGGTTTTGTTGTCTATAGTTGCATTGCGCCACTCACGTCCAGTGTAAACACAGGGTAAAATTAGCAAAGAGCTCCAGATCGCGTCAATGAAACACTGTTTGTTTGCTTTACTTTGCAACAGATTCATTTTTAAACAAGACAGTATGATGCAGGCTGAAAGTAAATGATGGTGCAGCGCTGAATCTGACTAGTGTGGATCCAACAGTAATGCCGCAACACATAAGTGTGAATAAACATGCTTTTACCACTATTGCATTGTCTGTTCCAGACCATTTTATATATACTGAGTGTTTATAGGTTTTTAACCCAAATGACCCATTAATAATTAATAATTACACACACATTAAAACAAAAAAAACAATGCATGCTTGGTGGTTCAAAAAGTCAGACCTTTGATTCATTTATACATGGACAGAATAAGCAACAATAGATTCCGAAGCTAAAGTAACAAGCAAACCTTACCAAACAATACCAAGCCATGAAGCCACCGATTACCGGCTCAGTTCGATCACTGAGTACAATTCATTAAAACACCAGTTCTTAACTGGTTCCCAAAGGACTCCTCAATCAAGTGTTTATGTTCTGAACTAGCATTCAACTACAGCAGTAATTGACAGGCACTTAAATTAATTAAATTAGATCTGCACGTTTTCCACCAGAAAAATCATGGCCTATTCCAAAGCAGACGTTATTGACACAGTAAAGCTCAGTAGACAATCATTCAATCAAATGCACTAATGATTGAAGGGCACTTGGTCAGAGAACCATGTGACAGATCGATTTGCATAACAGTTGACCCAGTTGGGGGAAAAAAAAGTGTATGACCCTGAAGTCATATTCTATTCTATTCTATTCTAACACTTCAGAACAGTAGGCCACATCATCATGGTCCTCTGAGTAAATGTTAATACTCAGTAAATGAATTAGTCATACTGCCATTGATAGTCCAGGAAGAAACAAGTCCAAAGGGTGTTGTGAGCCCACTGCAAACTGCTTTAATTAACACATACATGGCTCAGGAGGAACCTTGGCTTGGGTACGCTAAGCACATATCAAAAAACTTTTCTGGGGAGCAGTCTGTTGTTCCTCAGGGCTTCTGTTGTTTCTCACAACTCTAATCCATTCCAGCAGCTAATCTTTGTTAAACCATTTGTTGAAAATTTATGGCCAGGGTGGGGCTTTAGTAAAAGGATTTTGGACAACTTTCAAAAAAACGTATCCTGTGAGAGAGTTTTAAAATTGTTATGCCTCAATAAAGAAACTTAAATTCACCATCAGAGGCTAGTTATGCAAAAATCCCTTTTCTTAAGCACCTATAAACAGATGTTTGCTCTGTGCTGGTAGGTCTGTCAAAAGACAAATAGAAGAGTGGTAATGCAGAACACTCTAAAAAATCGTCTCAGGTTACTTATGTAACCATGGTTCCCTGAGTA